AGCACCGTGCCCGACCACCTTTGTTTCCCCGGTCCCCAGGGTGAATATTTACACACAACACCAGGTGTTCATTTATGGCCGAGTCCACCTAGGGGGAGGCCCAACGAACAGTTCAGATATTCATCACTCGTGTTGGTGGCCGTGAGTCTGAATCGTCTGGTCAGGTTCGATGGGCAGCGCGCTACCCACTACACTACCGCTCCCCACAAAAACACACACACACACGCACGCAAACATGCACACACACACGCACGTGAGCATGCACACACACACGCACAGGTGAGTTGGATGTAGACGCGCGTGGGAGGCGAAGTCGGAATGCACGTGTTTGCTCTGCCGCCTGGCGCGCAGCGCGCGCGCGCGTGTGTGTGGTGCGGTGTGTAAACATCAGCACTGGGGGAGACAAAGGCGGCCAGGCATGATGCTGGCCACCCACGCCCTCGTGTGTCGTTCCGGCCTTCATAGGTGCTGCTCGCTAACAGCACTCGCCCCAACAGTTAACGCTATACGGAGGATCCTTGTCTCTGTGTGTGTGTGATGGTGTGAGTGCAATGTCTTTGTGCTCCGTGTGTCTGTGTGCTCAGCGTGCGTGTCTGTGCGTGTGTCTACAGAGGAGGCTTGCTCAGTTGGAAGCAGTGGCCCTCCAGCAATAACGAAGGGCAGAAGAGCGACGCTCACAACAACGAGCGGACGGCCAGGCGGATAAAACGTAGCAAGTTGGCACAGTAGGGGGCACAGTTGGTGCATCTGCCTGTCACCTCAGCCCGTGAACCCATGGCACCTGGGTCTCTTTCGTGACCTGTCAGCGAGCCTTCGACACTTCACGTGGCCTCAAAGTGCACCTGGCCTGGCACAAGCGCCGTGTTGACGTCACTGTCAGTTAGTGACGAATGACGGGTGTTGCTGTTGTTGTCTGTGCTCCGTATGTGTGTGTCTGTGCGTGTACATGTGTGTGTGTCTGTGTACCACGTGTGTGCGCGTGCGTGTGTGTGTGCGCATGCACGTGTGTGTGCGCGTGCACGTGTGTGTGTGCGCGCGTGTGTGCGTGTGCACGTGCGTGTGCGCGCGCGTGTGTGTGCACGTGTGTGTGTGCGCGTGAACGTGTGTGTGTGTGTGTGCCCGTCTGTGTGTGTGCGTGCCCGTGTGTATGTGCACGTGCCCGTGTGTGTGTGTGCGCGTGCCCGTGTGTGTGTGTGCGCGTGCCCGTGTGTGTGTGTGCGCGTGCCCGTCTGTGTGCTCCGTGCAACGTGTCTCGTCCGCATTGGGCCCTGGCTCAGAGCGGCCCCGCGCACCACAAGGGCCCTCTGTGCGTGGCCCCACGGGGCCGTGTTTATGCAGCAATTATTATTGCTACTCCTCTTATGATTATTTTTATAAACTGTATTTGCTATGCAAATAGCCGCTCAGCGCCCGGTACATTCAGCTCTTTGAATCGCTCGCTCACTCTGGGTTGGGTCACAGGCGGGCACAGTTACCCACGCGCACACACGCGGGCACGGGTCTACAAAGACAAAGGTCCCCCGTGTAGCCCTTTCCAGGACTGTTGGTACAAGTGCTGTTGGCGGAACCACCTAACTTTCTATGCGAAGGTCACACGAGGAGGTGATGTGCCCAAGTCACGCCCGGCCGCCTTTGTCTCTCCGTGGCCGATGGATGGGGTTTTGCTTATTTACTTAACACATGGCACCCCGGTGTGTAAATATGAGTCTGAGTCGGCCTATGAGAGATACCCACGAACTGGTGACGATGTTCGCCACTGATGTTCTCACGTGGGCTGGTTCGTAGCGCAGTGCGCTGACCACTGTGCCACCGCTCCCCACGTATTACACACAACATACAAACACCCCCCCTGTTAGCGCACGAGCTGTTTGCGAGCACCTCATGAAGGCCGGCACAGCGTACCGGAGGGCGGATAGCCAACGCCACGCCCGGTCACCGTTCCAGGTACTCGTTTAACGTTGAGTCGACCTAGGGGAGGCCCAGAACCGGTTCAGATATTCGTGGGATTCGAACACGGAATGCCGGGTTCGTAGCGCAGTGCCGCTAATCACTGTGCCACCGCTCCCCACGTCTCACACACGTGCACGCACAGACATCCAATGTTTCTCATGTAGTACACCAGCAAGCGTGTCCGCACACACTCGGACACACACACTGGCATGTATTCACACACACACACATATCCGTTTACACACACACACACATGCACGTTTACACTGGAAAGCATTTACACAGAAGACAATGATCCCCCGTATAGCCTTCATAGACTTTTAGGACAAGTGATATTAGAGAGCACCCATGAAGGCCAGCACGACCCACGATGGTATGGTGTGGCCAACACCACGCCCGGCCGCCTTTGTTACCCATTTAAGGCTGAGTCGACCAATGAGAGGTCCAGGACTGGTTCGGATAATCGTCACTGGTGTTGGTGGAAGTGAGTGGCGGGAATCGAACTCAGGTGGTCGGGGTTTGTAGCGCAGCGCGCTAACCGCTGCGCCACCGCTCCTCATCGGACACGCACGTACACACGTACACGGCTGATCAATTCCAACGTGTACCCATTTACACGTCGGTAGAGAGAGGGGGGTGGTTATGTTGTGGGCAGCAGAGTGTAGCGAAAACACATTATTGTGCTATACAGTACTTCTATATCCCCACGTCCACGCTCCTTACCCGCCTGCACTGACCAGAGTGGTGAAGTATGGTCAAACAACCCTCATCCAACAGCGAGCAAATTATGTCGGCGACGCTGCTTCTGCGTTGGCAGCAATGCACAAGCACAGTAAACACATCTACACAAACAAACAACAACGGCGCGTGTGGATTCAAAGGAACAAAGTAAACAATAGAAGACGTCTCGGTCAATAAATGCCGACCAATCTTGGTTCTCTATGTGCTGGTGGAGAAGGGTCATTGCCCGAAACGTCGCCTATTACGTTTTTGTTCCTGTTTGAGGCCACATCCACAGAGTGTCAACCAGCAGTGGATAATCTACAATTATAAGGCGACCTTCAACAATGGATCTCACAGCGTGGTGTGTAGATGTAGGCACGGGTCGACAGGCGGGCAGATTAGGTAGGTAAGGCACGGGGAGCATGTAAGTTACCGCACGAGGTAACGGCGCAGCCCTGCAATTGCTCGCCCACGCTACTGCTGGTGGACAGCGCTCCCGCTGGAGGGAGCTCCGGTCTTGGGAGCAGCCCTCTCTGTGGGTGAGTTCGCTGCTCTGCCCTCTGCTGACCGCAATGGGCACAGCCTGCTCCCACCGTTCATAACGGGGATTGTGGTTCATTGTCTACTTTCACTTTGACTATTCGTATGATGATGGCGCTTTGTTTGGTAGATTTGTGCCAGAAATGCGCCGCGTGTGTAAATATAAGAGAGAAAACGGACTTCACTGCAGTGTCTATAGTACGGGGTTTGTACACATCCCATCAGCACCACGCGGCCGTCTGGGAGTGCAGAATTATTCAGCCAGCATTTGGTCAACACGTGTAGGTTCGACATGCAGTGTCTCATCAGCAGCAGCCAAGCTTGATTGGACCTAAGTTCGACACCACGAAATGTTGAACAACACAAAACCAAACTAATAATTAGCTTCGTTCTTGAGAAATAGAACTGAAATTAAGTATATATATAAGCAGACGATGTCTCCTTCACATATAATCCGTCCCTTCACGAAGAGCCTTTTACTGGTAGGAACCTCCTGGTTACACCAGCCCACAGGGGATTATTGTGTCCGTCCGTCCGTCGTGCAGGGAGGGGCTGGGTGGGGAGGGAGGGGCTGGGTGGGGAGGGTGGGGAGGGGCTGGGTGGGGAGGGTGGGGCTGGGTGAGAGATGGGAGGGGTGGGGCTGGGTGGGGAGGGGCTGGTCACCCTGTGGTGCTCTTATAAAACTCAACGTTTAACCTACTCACGCCGGCTTGTGCCCGCCCTCACAGTCGGGAATATTTGCGGAATACACCACGCCGCCGTTGACCCTGCAGGCCATTGACCGAGCAACCCAACGTTCCTACCAGCTCCCTCCGCAGGACAATGTGTTTTGTCGCATTCAGTAACAATACAAAAACCCGCTCAATGTGTCCGTGCAAGTGGCGAATACGAGACGGCGGGTTTTAACACGCAGTCGGCTTTCGCGACCAATATCATCCATCAGACAAGTGTGTTTGGGTTAGATCGGGTAAATATATAAATGTGTCGTTAAACCCGCCACCACCCGGCACAGCCAAATGCTAAGGTTTGTCACGTAAACAGAACGTGCAAATTCGTTACTAGTACAGCACTAACCGGCGTGTTGGAGAGTAAACCAACTACAATATTTACAATTCGAGTACGACGTTTCGCTGCCGATTACAGCAGCAGCAGCAATCAGCATCGTCAGACGCTTTGCCAGAATTGTAAAGAGCATCCTGTGAATGTGAACTAGGGCTGAACGATTCATCGATTTCAAATCGCAATTTGAAACAACGCGATTAGCAAATCGCAAAGGCTGCGATTTTAAAAGTCCGATGACTTTCTTATTGGGATTGTTTTATTATTTATTATTATAACTTTATTTATTTAACTTAACAATTGTGCTATGTTTGATTGTTCTATTTTAATTAAAGCATTTTAATAAAGACATGTTGGAAGCAATTCATATATTTTAAGTTCTCATCCTTGCATTAGAATATAAAGAGCAGTTCATATTTTGATGGTATCTTGTGGTAATGCTCCATCACATGTTTTAAATCTATTACAAAGTGAATTTTGAACTGAAGCTTGACTTTAAAAAGTTTAATCCCAAATCAAATCGCAATGTCAGAAAAATCGCAATTAGATATCAAATCACAATTAGATATTTTCCCCAAATCGTTCAGCCCGAATGCGAACTCGCACCGTTAGCAAATCGCGTTTGTCACGTGCGCGCGGCGACCCGTAGCTCCAGCCCCCCCCCCCCCCCATAACACCCCCCCGCCCCCGCCCCCCCTCCACGTGACCTGCCCGGCGTCTCCCCCCACGTGACTCCGCGGACTCCGGCCCCTGACCAAGATGGCGGCTACGACGGCGGAGGAGCCGCGCAGCTCTCCCGAGTTGAGAGACGAGGGAGGCCTGGGCGCTCTGGGGGGCCTGGGCGCTCTGGGGGGCCTGGGGGGCCTGGGGGGCCTGGGGGACCTGGTGGACCTGGGGGATGAGACGGGAGCGGGGCCAGCAGACGGCGACGACGCGGAGGAGCTGTTCGCCAGCACGGAGAGCACCCTGGAGGTGAGGGCCGAGGATGAACGCGGATAGAGTCCCCTAATTAGGGGGCCCCTGACCCTCCCCCCCCGGGCCCCCGTTTCGGGGTCGAGCGGCGCAAGGGGTCCCGGGGTTCAGGCATGCGCGCGTGTCTCGGGTTCAGTGGTCCCAGGAGTTGTCGCCTCTAGGGCTCCTCCCTTTGTCGAGGTTTAGGGGTCCGCAAGTTCCGGAGTCCCCGTTAAGGGGGTCTCGTGGCGCCGGAGTGTGTCCAGGGCTCCCGCGGGGGCCCCGTTGCTGACTGGCTGCAAGATGATGTGGTTGGTTCCAGGGTCCCGGAAGGGGGGGCTACCCCATGAAGTGGTGCAGACGTCCTGTATGCGGGCCCCCTGGAGTCGAGACATTCAGGGTTCAGTAGCTGAAATAATACATCAACTTGGACTAAATGGTCCCTTGTTTCACTTGGGATGCAGAGAGGCCGCGTGAATTCACTCTAGACGTTTCGTGCAACGGACCCCAACCAGGAGTTCCGGGAGTCGCGTCCCAGACGGACGCGCAGGGGTTCGCTTATCGCCATCCTCTGGGGGGGTCTTAGAGATTCGGGGGGTGAGGAGCCGTGGGGGGAGAGGGAGAGGATTGGGTTTGTGAGCCGCGTCCCCCATCATCGTGCCTCCCTCCCCCAGCCCAGCCCGTCCAGCCCGGACGCGGGCAGCCCCAGCGAGGAGGAAGACGACGACGAAGACGACGACGACGCGGCGGTGGCGGCGGCGGCGGCTGGGCCCCAGGGGCGACTCGGGGAGGCCCAGGGGACCGGGGCCCCCGACAGCGGAGAGCACGCGACCCCGCGGCAGGAGCAGCAGGCCCTGCTGGATGACAGCGACGGCGACGACCTCTTCGGCGGTGCGTGTCGTGGACCGGGTCTCGAGACCTCGTCAAGGCCCCCCCCCCCCGGGAGCCGTGGCTCTTGGTGGGGGGCGGGGGGGTCGTTGGGAAGAGGAGTTGAGTGGTGGAGCGGTGACCGTGGCTGGAGCCCTGGGGTAGATTCATTATCGATGTTCTCATCGTGAGGCATTCATCCAGCAGTGGGTTGATCATGACTGACAGAAGCCGATTGTGGCATATGACGAGTCCGCCCGTGACCTCACGCCGCGGCTCGTAGTTTGGTCACCCAGTTTTGCTGTTCGCAATCGCGTCGTGAGCGCTGCAACGCCGAGCTGCGGTCGCTGTTGTGAGGGCTGTTCGGTAATTGTCAGCTGCCCAAGACGCTGCTGCTGCTGCTGCTATAAACAGGAATTGCAATGGAGGCCGGATCCGCTCGAGGGGAAGCTGCTCCACTCATGTGACTCGAGTCACGCGTCTCCCCGTGGCCCCGGTGCCCCTCACGTGACTCCACCACGCCCTGCCTGGAGGGCGTGTGCTGGGGTGTGCCGGGCTGGTGCTGATGCTGCTGGTGGTGGCGGTGGTGGCGGTGTTTGGGAAAGCCCTCCGCCTAGCTGCTGCTGCTGCTGTTGGGGCTTGCCTCTCGTGGCTGGCTGGGTCAGCCGAGGCCGAAATTTGCTGCGGTTGGCTGTGACCCCTGCAGTGGCGAAGGGTGGTAAAGCATAACAGCGGCTCATCCCCCCTGCGCCTTCTCCACCCGCGCCCCCCAGCGGCGTGGGGTGGAAGCGAAGTCGTTAGAATCGGACACGGCCGACTCTGGGCTCCCCACCCTCCCCACCCTCCCCACCCAGACCCACCAGACCAGCACCATCGGAGCGAGTGTATATGAGTGTGTGTATGGGTCGACTCGTCCTCTGAGTACCTGGTGCGGTGTGTAACAACATCGCCACTGGGGAGACAAAGACGGTCGCGCGTGGTGCTGGCCACCCACTCCCTCGTGTACCGTGCCAGCCTTCATAGGTGCTCGCTAACAGAGCTTGCCCCAACAGCCTGTTAAGGCTGCACGGGGGATCTTTGTATGGGGACCAGTGGGAGGCACAGCTGGTGCAATCTGCCAGTCATCTCGGTGAACCCATTGCACTTGGGTCTGTCCCGTGACCTGTTAGTGAGCCTTGGGAGTGCACCTGGCCTGGCACAATCACCGTGGTGTTGTCACCTCCACTTCATGGCGAATGGCTGTTGTTGTACGGGGAGCGGGAGTGTAGTGGTTAACACACTGCGCTACGAACCCGGCGACCCAATATCTGCTCACGGCCAACATCGGTGACAAAATATATCTGAACCGGTCCTGGGCCTCCCCTCAGTCGACTCGGCCTCAAATGAGTACCTGGCGCGGTGTGTAAACATCGCAGCTCGGGAGACGAGGAAGACGGTCGGGCGTGGTGCTGGCCACCCACGCCCTCGTGTGCCGTGCCGGCCTTCATAGGCACTACTCACTATCAGCACTTGCTCCTACAGTCTGTTGAAGCCTATACAGGGAATCTTTATCTTTGTCCACGTGTGTGTGTGTGTGTTGGAAGATGGCCCTGATGAGGATGACGAGGAGGTCCGCCCGGGGCTCCCCCTGCGGGCTCGGCTCTGCTGGAGTCGCCCCCCCTCGTACCGCCCGCCCCAGCGGAGCAACACCAGAGACCCCCAGCACGGGACGCACAGCACTCACCCAGCAGCATTGACGAGGTGAGACACCTGCACACAAACACAGAGGTCCCCCTTGTAGCCGACACGGCCTCAAATGAGTACCTGGAGAGCTGTGTAATCATCGCCACTCGGGAGATGAAGGCGGCTGGGCATCGTGCTGGCAATCCACCTCTCGTGTGCCATTCCAGCCTTCATAGGTGCTTGCTAACAGCACTTGCCCCAACAGTCTGTTAAGGCTATACGGGGATCTTTGTCTTTACATTTATGTCTTACTGTGTGTGTGTTAAAGGCTGTGTTCCTCCCTAGGTGGAGGAGGAGGAGGAGGTGGGGGACAATGTCTGTGACCTGGTCGTCAATGTCACTGAGCCTGAGAAAGTCGGTGAGTGCTGGGAGTGGGCTGAGGAGGTGGGTGGCTGGGTAGTGAGGTGGGGATGCGGGACTGGAGTCGGAGGGGTGATTCGCGTGTGTGTGCACGCACGCGTACACGTTTGTGTGTGTGTGTTGCGGGGAACTGTAGTGTAGCGGTTAGCGCGCTGCGCTACGAACCCGGCGACCCAAGTTCGATTGCCGCTCACGGCCAACATCGCTGAAGATGATCTCCCCTAGGTTGATTCGGCCTCAAATGAGTACCTGGTACGGTGTGTAAACATTGCAATTGGGGAGACAAAGGCGGTCGAGCGTAGTGCTGACTACCCACCCCCAAGTGTACCGTGCCGGTCTTCATAGGTACTCCCCTAACAGCACTTGCCCCAACAGTTAAAGGCTGTTTGGGTGATTTTTGTGTATACGTGCATGTGCGTGAGTGTATGTTAGGTGCTCGCTATGAACAGCACTTTCCCCAACAGTCTGTTAAGGCTATACTGGGGGGAACTTTGTCTTTGTTTCAGGTGATGGCATGAACGCCTACATGGTGTATCACGTCCACACCAAGGTGAGCGTCACTCGCGAGCTGGTGAGCGACGAGGTGAGGTGAGAGTGCTGTGAGTGTGCGCTTGGGGTATATGAGAGAAAGTACATTGGCAGTGTGTATAAATGAGCTAGTGTGTATATCACCGTGAGCATGAGAGCGAGTGAGTATCTGCGTCGGTGTATACTCGTGAGTGAATGTGAGCGAGTTCACGGTTACCGCACTGCCCTATGAACCCGGCAACCCGAGTTCGATTTCTGCTCATGGCCCACATCAGTGACGAATATCTGAATTCGTCCTAGGCCTCCCCTAGGTCGACTTAGCCTCAAATGACTACCTGGTGCTGTGTGTTAACATCGCCACGAGAGAGACGAAGGCGACCGGGCGTGGTGCTGGCCACCCACCCCCTCGTGTGCCGTGCCGGCCTTCATAGGTGCTCGCTAACAGCACTTGTCCCAACAGTCTGTTAAGGCTACATGGAGGGGTCTGTACATGTGAGTGAGTATGATTGTGAGTGTGAATTATTGTGAGTGTGAATTTGATTGTGGGTGAGTGTGAATGTGAGAGTGAGTGAGTGTGGGTAATTCTGAGTGTGTGAGAGTGTGTGAGTGTGTGTGAGTGATTGTGAGGGTGATTGTGAGTAATTGTGAGTGTGCGAGTGAGTAATTGTGAGTGTGAGTGAGTGATTGTGAGTGAGTGTTTGTTTGGGATCGTGAGTGAGTGTGATTGTTAGTGAGTGTGAGTGATTGTGAGTGAGTGTGAGTGATTGTGAGTGTGTGCGTGAGTGCGTGAGAGCGTACGAGTGTGAGTGATTGAGTGCCCCCCTCTCTGCAGACCTCGCTGAGCGGGTTCCGCGGATCTGAGTTTGGGGTGAAGCGCCGATTCAGCGACTTCCTGGGGCTTCACTCGAAGCTGTCCACCCGGCACGGCGCTGTGGGGGTCATCGTGCCCCCCGCGCCCGAGAAGAGCGTCATCGGTACACCCCCCCCCCACTCCGAGCTCTTCACTCCAAGCCCCCCCCCCACTCCTCACTCCGAGCCCCCCACTCCGAGCTTCCCACGCTGCTCCTCCTCTAAGCCCCTCACCCCAATCGACGACCTCAAGCCCTGTGGCCCCAACTCCCCCTCCCTCCTGGGGGACCTCTCAGGGCCCTCCCTGTGGTGGCGTTGGGCTGGGGGATCTTGCGGGGTCGGGGGGGGTCCGGGGACCCTATGAGGTGGGGGAACCTGTGAGGATGGGGACCCCCCCCCCCATGTGTGTGGGAGTGGGGGGATCTGGAGCTGGGGGAGTTGCTGGGCACGGTGGGGCCCTGTTGTGGGGGGGTGGAGGGGAGCGAGGAGCTTGAGTCCGTACACGACCTCACGCTCGCTAACGCTGGCGGTGGGTGGGGTGGTGCGCTGCTGCTGTAGGGATGACAAAGGTGAAGGTGGGGAAGGAGGACCCCTCCTCCGCGGAGTTCGTGGAGAAACGGCGCTCCTCGCTCGAGAGGTGCCCCCACACCACCCCCACTCGCACCCCCACCCCACTCACACCCGCACCCCCACCCCACTCACACCCCCACCCGTCCCCCCACCCCACTCGCACCCCCACCCCCACCCCACTCGCACCCCCACCCCACTCACACCCCACTCGCACCCCCACCCCCATCTCACCATCCCCACCCCACTCGCACCCCCACCGCACCCCCCACCGCACCCCCACCCCACTCGCACCCCCACCGCACCCCCACCGCACCCCCACCCCACTCGCACCCCCACCCCACTCCCACCCCCACCCCACTCCCACCCCCACCTCACTCCCACCCCCACCTCACTCGCACCCCCACCCCACTCGCACCCCCACCCCACTCCCACCCCCACCCCACTCCCACCCCCACTCCCACCCCCACCTCATTCCCACCCCCCCCCCACTCGCATCCCCACCCCACTCGCGCCCCCCTCTCCTCCCCTCTCCCCCCTCGCTCTTCTCCACAACTGACCACCGCCCTCTCCCACGACCCCCCCCTCCCTGCCGTTGCCATGGTAATTGCTCCTCCCGCAGGTACCTGCAAAGAGTAGCGAAGCACCCGACCCTCCTGCAGGACCCGGACTTCCGCGACTTCCTGGAGCGCGACGAGGTGAGGGCCGCTCTTCCTCCGCCTCGTCACGCGCACGCAGACAAGAGACCGCCGCGTAGCCATCCGCGCCATTGGGGCAACTGCTGTTAGCTGGCGCCCAAGGGAGTGGTGTGGGGCCTCAAGCACACCCGGCCACCTGTGTCTCCCTCGTGGCAATGTTTACACACCGCACCAGGTACTCATTTGAGGCCGAGTTGACTTGGGGAGGCCTGGGACCGTTCAGATATTCGGCACGGACTTTGGTTGTGAACGGGAATGTAACCCGGTTGGCCGGGGCTCATCGCGCAGTGCGATAACCACTGCTTGCCACGCACCCCCATTGTTCACCGTGCCGGCATTCACAGGTGCTGTTCACTAACAGCACGTGCCCCAAACGTCCGTTAAGGCTGTACGGTGGATCTTTGTCTTTGTGTGTGTGTGTGTGTGCAGTTGCCCCGTGCTGTCAGCACTCAGGCGCTGAGTGGAGCCGGACTCATGCGAATCGTCAGCAAGGCGGCCGAGGCTGTCAACAAGATGACTATCAAGATGAGCGAGCTGGACCCAGTAAGCCCCATGTCTTCGTTCACGCACTACCCCGGCTGCACGTGTGGATGGTGGTGATGGTAGAGATGGCGGTGGTGGTGGCGATGATGGTGGTGAGGGTGGCAGTGGTGGTAGCGGTGGTGGTGGTGGTGGTGGCTGTGGCGGCGGCGGTGGTAATGGTGGTAATGGCAGTGGTGGTGGTGGCAGCGATGGTCATCATGATGACGACGTTCGTGGTGATGAAGGCAGTGGTGGTGGAGGAGGTGGCGGTGTCGGAAGTAAAGGTGTGTGCGTGTGTGCATGGTGGTGGTTTGTGTGCCAGTGTCATAGTTATCTGTGTATGTGAGCGTACGTGGTAGGGAGCGGCTGTGCAGTGGTCAACCCGGCGAGCCGAGTTCGATTCCCAACATCGGTGACGATTATCTGAACCGGTTCCGGGCCTCCTGAGGTCAACTCGGCCGTAAATGAGCACCTGGTGCTGTGTGTATACATCCCCAATGGGGAACTGCGGAAACAAAGGTGGCCGGGGCGTGGTGCCAGCCACACTGGCCCTTTGTTGGCATCTATAGGCGTTTTCTCACAGCATTTTATCCAACAGTCTGTTGATCCTGTGCGGGGGATCTCTGCGTTTGCTGCGTAGTGGTTTGAGGAGAAGCAGCTGCAGTTTGAGAGCCTGGATCAGCAGCTACGGAGACTGCACGGGAGCGTGGAGGGGCTGGTGGTGCACCGGAAGGGTGAGAGGCCTCACTGTCGCTCATCATCATTCGCCACCGCAAGAGTATGTGACACCATCACCCACCATCACCCACCATCACCCACCATCACCCACCATCACGCCTCACCATAGCGCACCACCGCAAGAGTGCGTGGCACCATCACAGACGTCACACGTAGTGTAACACGCTATTCCAACCCATCACATGCCATTCGTGTGTCTGCGTGTCCGTGTCCATGTTTCCCCATGTGTCCGTGTGCGTGCCATTCATCTGTGCCTCCCTGTGTGCGTGTGCCAGTGTCTCAGTGGCATGTCTGTATTCCCGTGCCCCCCGTGCCCACGCATGTCCACGTGTGTGTGTTTTGCATCTCTGTTCTCATATATCCATGTAGTCCTAGCCCTGTGCCCGCGTGTCCCTGTGTCCATGTCCCCATGTGGACATGTGACCGCTTGTCCAACTGCACGTGCTCCCGTCTGTGTGCCCGCACCCCTGTACGTGCATCCGTCTGTGCGTCTCCTTGCCCGCCGTGTGACCCCCCCCCCCCCCCCCCCAGCCACATCCCCGCGTCGTGACCGCGCGTGACCGTACCATTTGTGCCGCCCCCACCCCCACCCGACCCGACACCCTCCGCCCACCTCCCTCCAGACCTGGCGCTGTGCACGTCTGCGTTTGCGCGCAGCGTGGCGATGCTGGGCACCTCGGAGGACCACACGGCGCTGTCGCGCGCGCTCTCCCAGCTGGCCGAGGTGGAGGAGCGGGTCGAGGGCCTGCACGGCACCCAGGCCCACGCCGACGCCTTCCTGCTGGCCGAGCTGCTCGCCGACTACGTGCGGCTCATCGGCTCCGTGAAGGTGCGGCCCCGCGCGCGCCCCGGCCCGCAAGGCTGACCCTCGCCAATCGCCGGGCCCGCGTTCGGCTCAATCGCGTCGGCCCCCCCGAGTCCGGCCCCACCGCGAGCGTCGCCCCGCGTAGTGTTGGCCACCAATCCCCTCCTGTGCCGTGCAAGTCTTCATAGGTGCTCGCTAACAACAATAGGGGGGATCTTTGTCTTTGTGTGCGATGGGTAGAGCAGCGATTAGCGCGCCAACTTCCGGTTCCGGACCTCCCCCAGTTCCCATAGCCGGAGAGTAAGAAAGTGGCCTTCATTGCAGCTCGCTAACAGCACTGGCTCCCCTAGAGTCGGTTAAGGTCGCAGAGCGGCAGGTGATGGCCGTCTGCGTGAGTGAGTGCGCATGTGTGCGTGTGTGTGCGTGTATATGCACATGCGTGTATATGCACATGCGTATACGTGTGTGTACATGCGTTTGTGTGTGTACGTGCGTGTGTGTGTGTATGTGCGTGTGTGTGTGTACATGCGTGTGTGTGTACGTACGTGTGTGTGTGCGTGCGTGCATGTGTGTGTATGCAGGCCGTGTTCGACCAGCGAGTGCGCTGCTGGCAGCGCTGGCAGGACGCGCAGGTCACGCTGCAGAAGAAGCGCGAGGCCGAGGCGAAGCTGCAGTCGGGGGCCGCCGCCAAGGGGGACAAGCTGCAGCAGGCGCGCGACGACATCCACGAGGTGCCCGAGTCCTGCCACAGCACACACACGCACGCACACACGCATGCACATACACGCACGCACACACACCCGCACGCACGCGCGCGCGCACACGCGTCGGCCACACACTCACACGGGTAGTACTCGAGCAGGTAACACTCACTCACACGGGCAACACCTGTATGCAATCTTAATTTTGGATCTATGCAGGCCTCGCTCACTCACAAACACACTCACGCAGGCCACACACTCGCATGTGAACACTTGCCACCACTTCTTGCTTCTGGAGTTTCAGTCGGGGTGGCCACCTTCACTGAGTTGATGAATGCACACAATCCAGCTGCTGCTGTTCGTGCTGCTGCTGCTCGTGCTGCTGCTGCTGCTCGTGCTGCTTTGCGTGAGCGTTTGATTCGAGGCGTTTGCCTCGTGGTGTAATCGCTGGTTCCTTCTCTCGCCATGCTTCACCAAGGAGGTCACGGAGGTGTGTACCGCACGGAGCGACGGCGCACGACACGACACGCACACACACACACCACATGGTATGCATCATACACCAACTTACGGCACATGTACACACCACACCGCACGCACCACACGGCACACACCACACACGGTATACACGGCACACGCAGCACACCCACACATTCCGCACGCAGCACGCACCATACGACACACACCCACATATGACACAACCCGCACATGACACACACCCGCACATGACACACACCCACACACGACACACACCCCCACACGACACACACCCCCACACACGACACACACCCACACACACGACACACCCCCACACACGACACACACCAACACACACGACACACACCCACACACACAACACACAAACACACACATGACACAAACCCACACAGCACATTCCTCACGGCATGTGGCACACATCTCTTGCCCACACATGGCACGCACAGCATGGCACACCCCACCACACCCAGCAACTCTCACGCACCCGACCCTACCACTGACTGTAATCAGACAGGGTGGTGTGTGGCGTGGTGCTGTGGTGTGTGGTATCTTGTGGGATGTGATGACGATGTGTGTATTTGTGTGGGGAGCGGTAGTGCAGCGGTTAGCACTACGCTGCGCTATGAACCTGGCGACCCGGGTTCGATTCCCGCTCACGGCCAACACCAGTGACGATTATCTGAACTGGTGCTGAGCTTCCCCTAGGTCGAGTACGCACCTGGGGCGATATGTAATCATCGTCACTGGGGAGACAAAGGCGGACGGGCGTGGTGCCTTGCCGGCCTTCATCGGTGCTCGCTAATAGAACTTGCCTCAACAGTCTGTTAAGGCTACACGGGGGATCTTTGCCTTTGTGCGTGGTGTAGCCTCAAAGTGCATCTAGCCTGGCACTTTCGCTGTGCTGACATCACCGCCACTCGGTGGCGAATGCGCGTGGCGTGCGTTGAGGCTGGCTTGCCATCTGTAAGAAGCCTCTGCCGTCCTCCCGCTGTGGAGACGGGCATCCTCCTTGGACTTCGTTCAAAACCACAGCTGGTGTCCTCCCTCCCCAACCCTTCTCCTGATGCCTCGACGACGACGGGCAACGGTTGTGGCTCCGGACACGTGGTTGGTGCAACCGCACGCAGGCGGCCAGAGCCACATGCGTGGCACCGCAAGGTCGCGTGGGCGCCGTTGGTCATTCTGGGTGAATGCCAAACTGCTGCACGGGGTGCCCCGGTCCAGCCCTCCTCCCCAGACAACCCTGGCTGATGGAGGAGGCGTTTCCGGCGAGCCGAGAGAAAGCGGCAGGCCCGCTCCCGACGTCTCCCAACATCCCGCGCCGGGGGAGTCGAGGGGCCTTGACCGGTGACGCGGTAGCCGAGTTAGCCGCTTGTTGTTACAGAGCTTGTGGTTCGAATCCAGCGGCCGCCCTGGTTAATACTGCGGTAGATGAGTATTAACCGTACAAAAAGTACTATTGCTAGGCGCCGTCTGCTTCGCTCACACTGGACGCGATAGATCCCGTGGACGTCGTTCGCAAGAGCGAGGCCATCACGTGCCGGCATTGCGGTCCAATGGCAAATAGTTTTTTTTTTAATAACGCCGCAAATAACTCGCTTGGAATAAACGGCAGCAGTCATCGCCCCCCCCCCCCCACCCCCCCCCCCCCCCCCACTGCGAAAGCTTGGCGGACCCTCCTGGAGAAGGAGCGAGGAATCGTAAAAAAAATTTATGAACGCTGCAGCCCACGCTCGGAGATTCGGAAGAGCCGTGCGGCGCTGACGAGGATGAGTGGTGGTCCGCGGACTGCCGAGGAGATGAAAGCTGCGGTGAGCAGCTCACGGCCACAAATGGCTCTTCGGTCCATTCCAAGGACTTGCAGCGACACGTCTGCCTTGCGTAGGGGAGAGCAGCGGTTATTTGAGCTCCGTACCCCAGGTCCGATCTGCAGATGAGTGGGATTTGATGTGCGATGTGTGGTGGGTCTGACGCCGTGACTGGGTGGTGTTCCCTTGCGGTTGACGGTGTGACGGTGCGGTGTGTATGACGCTGTGTTGGGCGACGCTGCTGTGTGATGGTGTGACGTGACGGGGTGACGTTTGAATGCTTTTGACATTGTGTAGTACGGATTTTGTCGTGTGGTGTAAGTGGTGATATGGGTGTACGTGGTGTGATGTTGTGGTGTAGTGGCGATGCGTTTTGGTGTGACCGTTGTGGTGTGACGCAGTGGGAGGGGAAAGTGGAGCAAGGAGAGGCGGAGTTTGAGTCGATCTCCAAAACGATTCGCACAGAGGTGGCGAGATTCGAGGTGAGGCCACACCCACCGTACACACACCTCACTCACCACTCTCCCCACACACACCACACCTCACCACATTCACCATACAACTCTCACCTCACCACACACACTTTACTTACCACCCACCACACCACGCTCGCCACACCACTCACTAAGCTCACCTCACTCGCCACCACTAACGTCTTCACCAGAGCAGCATACAATAATCGTTCCGTATCCTCGCCATCACACTACCTGTCTCGTCACTCGCTCACCTCGTCGTGTGATCACTCACTCACTGTCATCACCTCGTAATGTCACTCACCTCTTTGTGTGATCACTCACCTCACTGTCATCACCTCGTAATGTCACTCACCTCTTTGTGTGGTCACTCACCTCACTGTCGCCACCTCACCGTGTCGTCGCTCACCTCGTCATGTGACTCCCCTTCACATTTCCTCGCCTCGCCGTGCCGCGTGCAGAGGGAGCGAGTGAGAGACTTCAAGCACGCGGTGGTGTCTTACCTCGAAGCCCTGGTGCACACGCAGGCACAGGTGAGGCGTGTGACGGGGTGTGACGCTATAACGAGGTACAGTGAGGTGTGACGAGGTGGGAGTGTGACGAGGCCGCTGGCCAGTGCTCCTTGCTAACAGCACTTGCCCCAACACCCTGTAATGGCTATACGGGGGATCTTTGTATCTTTTGTGTGTGTTGTCGGGAGCGGTAGTGTAGCGGTAGTGTAGCGGTAGTGTAGCGGTTAGCGCGCTGCATTTCAAACCCGGGGACCCGACTTCGATTCCCGCTCACGGCCATCACCAGTGACGATTATCTGAACCGGTCCCGGGCCTTCGTCTTTGTGTGACGAGGTCTGTGATGAGGCATTGAGTGTGGCGAGGTGTGTTACGAGGTGTGCGTGCGTAACGCTATCAGGAAAAGTCACTTGCAGCGCCACACCGAGTACCGTCCTAAATGGAAAGAGTGGTGATCCGAGGTAACATCGTGGGGCAAGGT